TCATTACAAAATACTGAAAACTATAAGACTAAACAACTAAAAAAGTTAATGTATAATTACAAAAAAAAAACTCTCATCAGACATGTCTGTCGCTACATGCAGGTCATTATCTTGAAGACTTCAGTCGCTTTTGGTGTATTGACATTTCTTAAATTTGCGAGTGGAGCTCTTAAGTGGCAAAAAATACATGAACACTTTTACCTTAATATTCAGAATAATGCATTCCGACTGTCAAACTGTTAAAATGTTACTGGTTGTACTTTAATAGCTGTTAAAGGTGCCCAGTAGCAGATCGAAAAATGAGCTAAATAGTTTTTTTTTACGGGCGTAATTTCAACTTTGAAAAAAAGATCGACATTTCAATTGATAGATTATGTCTAAATCTCTAGGGAAGACACAATATTTTTTAAAATAAGTGATTGTTTAGTGTTTAATTAATCGTTCATTCTTCGAAGGAAATTGAGTTTTTAGACGAGGAGAGAGCATTTTTCGCTTCAACTTTTATATCAGTGCAAAGACAACATTGAGCTCTATGGGGAAGACCCGGTCATTTTTGTTTAAAATTTATATTTATCAAAATATTTGCTTTTTAAAAAAATACTGACTAATGAAAATAAAGTGAAACTAGGCAACCCTATTTACAAAGTTTTCCGTTTCAATAAATGGCTGAGTTTTACACAGCAGGGAGCCTTGCCGACCAACCCTTTCAGGTACTTTAGGTCATAAAACTCATAAATACTCTTAGCTGACCAACATTGTTGAAACTTTTTTACAAGTCGACTTCTTTCATTGCTGACATAATTTGATTTAAAAGTATGCAAATTTTTATAATTTTATATATTCTACTAAAATATTTTCTTTGAAAAAATTATTCAAATATTTTTTATTAATCTGTCATTTTATATATTAATCAATACACAAAACTGACAAGATTTAGATTCTCATCACTTCACTAACCACTTGTTTAGCTGAACAATCATATTTATTTAAATTTAATTTTTTGTTACTCTTTTTCGCACCACCTATGAGGTAAGTATTATAGGCACGTTTTTTACGTGATATCTCCAGTAAACCTATTCCAATATTACTATTTATTCCTGTGTGTGTTTATACTAGAAGGGCAAAAGATTTATATGAACTACACATGACGCGAATGCAAATAAAAAATTTTAATTCTACAATTTTTTCTTTACAATTTGTCTAATGGGTTGACTTGTTTAATAACGAGAATCTACTCTCTCGGGAAGTAAGGCATATAAATAAAATTTTTCTAGGGCTCTATCATATTATTTTCCCAAAATTTATCATCTCGTTTTGCAAATTTTACCAAAATAACGTTCGGTTAGTCTAAAGGATTTTTCTGCGCACCATTCTGGATTATTGCGTTCGCCAATTGTGTTTTGTTCGATTAAAAATACATCAACTTTTGAAAGTTTTTTGAGAAATACTTTTTGCGCTGTGACATATCAGGTTTTTCAACTGCCTCATTAGATACATCGTCGCCCGAGAACTTGTATGATCCACAGACCGGAGCGCGCTCAGGCCAATGTCGACTCTATAAGCCCCCAGAAATTCTGGGGGAAATAGTTATTATTTAGATGCTTTTGTTTACACACGTCTCACATGTTTCACTCGATTTTGACACTCAACTATTTTTTTGTTTAACTAAGAATTAATACTTTCATTGCGTTTGATACTAACGTCCAAAATTAGCAATACTAGTGGAACAGTAATCATGCAATAGATTTTTTTGGGAAAGTACAGTTATTTTTATGTTTTAGCAGCAATGTGTTCTATTTTCTATTAATTTTTACATATTTTTAGTCACAATTTTGATAGTTATTTTTTACTTTTATTTTTAGCAATAATGAATAGTCCAAACATGAAAAAATTAAAAAAAAATAAAATTGGAAAATCTAAAATTTAGAAATCGAGAAATTGAACAATCGTATAATTGAAAAATCGAAACATCGAAAAACTGAAAAATCGAAAAATTAAAAAAAAATGGAAAATCAGAAATTTCATGAATTCCGAAAATTGAAAAACTGAAATATGCATAGAAGAACTGAAAACTCGAGAAATCGAAAAATCTAGAATTTTTAAAAAATTGAAAAATTAAAATATCGAAAAGTTGAAAAATTGCGAAATCGTATCAGTGAAACATCGGACAATTGAGAAATCGAAAATTTGAAGAATGGAAAAATTGAAAATGTCAAAAATTAAAATACTGAAAAATTGAAACATCAAAAGTTGAAAAACTGAAAAACCGAAAAGCCGAAAAATCTCAATAATGTATTTATAAACCACAAGTTCAGGATTATGCTACTAAAAAGTTGATAACGACATCTCAAAATTTTGCTGAATAATTTCTACTAAAAATGTGCAAAATATGATGAGTTTTTGCTTGTAATTTATCATTGCATTCATATTTTTTTAGATTTGCTTATATACCTAGGTGGCTCAAAAAAATTAATGAATGAGTCAATTTATTCTATTGATTAAATCAGTCTCGACTCACTCTATTTTCCCAGAAATTTTTGGAGTACTGTTATTTTTAGTCTAATCCACATTGATTTACGTGTCCTTGCAAAATGTTGATGATTTCATCATTTACACCTAAAGTAAAAATTTAACTCGCAAATGCTGGATATGTTTAATAATAATAATAATAATAATAGGACTTTATTAAATAATAATAGGCGAAGTGTAGCCATAGGCTATTCCACTTAACCTTAGATTTACAAGAAAATAAAACTAACCAAACAGTTTGTACAGAAAAACGGATTAAATATCTAGACAGGAGTCAGCTAGGTAATGATCAAATTAAACAATTTAAACCAATTAAATCTAAATTAAATTAAATTAAATTAAATTAAATTAAATAATCCATAATTAGAAACTAAATTTATACAAATAATAATAATAATAATAATAACAAAAAGTTAACAACAAGCAAGAGAACCACAATAATAAACTTAAACCTAAGTATTAATCAAGCATTTTTTAATTTTTTTCCTAAAGCAATTGATGGAAGAACTTGAATTAAACTCTAATAAAAATTTATTGTAAACTTTGATAATATTATACGTGAAAGATCTCTGAAAGATAGATGTATAATGCTTTGGCATTGACAGTTCTTTAAGATTCCTTAATGGAAGACTTGAGTTTAACATACTTTTTCTTGTATGAAATTTACAACGCAAGTACGGCGGAGAGTTAGAGGAAAATAACTTGAAAGCAAAGATAGATAGGTGATACTGAAACAATATGTCAATTTTCATCCAACCAAGCTCACAGATTTTCTGAGACACATGATCAAATTTCCTCAAACCAAAAATGAAACAACAATTATTTTGGATTTTTTGAAGACGGTATTTATCAATACTGTCAAGACATGGGTAATATATTACTAGGCAATAATTTATATATGACAAGACAAGAGACTCACATAATTTCTTCCTCAATTTAAAATTGAGTAAAAGGTAATTTTAATAAAGAAGTTTCAATGCTACATAAGATTTTTTAATAATGTTAGAAATATGAGTCTTAAAACGAAAATCGTCATCAATCACCAATCCCAAATTTCTTACAGTATGTAAAACTGGTAGTTTTATGTTATCAGATTTAACATTAATATTGTTAAAAAGAACATTTTTAAATTTTCGGGGAGCGCAGCAAATAACTTTGCATTTATTTATATTCAGTTGGAGGTTAATATCAGATGAAACATTTGCTATATTTTGTAAGTCATTATTTATATGGTTAGATGCTATATCAACTTCGTTAGGTAGGAAATGATGCTGCATTTGGGTGTCATCTGCAAAGGCTCTCTTTTTAGATACTGAAGGTATCTGCAACAATTGGGAAGTATATATAGTAAAAAGAATTGGGCCTAAGACCGAGCCTTGCGGTACGCCTGATGTTATTAAGCCAATTTTAGATTTACCAGACTCGGTTACAACTTGTTGGTGTCGATTTTGTAAATATGATTTAAAAAAAGAAACAGAAATTTGATCGAACCCATAATATTCCAGTTTTGTGCAGAGGAGTTGGTGGTCCAGAGTATCAAAAGCTTTTGAATAATCCAAAAGAGTTACAATACTTGCGTGGTTTTTGTCAAGTTCAATCAGGCAATCATCGATAACAGAAGCTAGAGCTGTCGTTGTGCTATATCCCTTGCACCAGATTGATCTTCAGATAATATCTCTTCTTTTACTATAAAATTAAAGATTTGATTATAGATACATTTTTCTAAGACTTTAGATAATGTTGGAAGAATACTTATTGGTCTTAGGTCTTCTGGAGAGTTTACCTCGTCGATTTTGGGAATAGGATGAATTAAAGCCACTTTCCATAATTCTGGAAAGTATCGAGTCTCCAGACAGCAATTAATAATGTGAGTAATTGGCTGAACTATATTAGGGCAACATAATTTAATCATGTAAGCAGAGATACCATCAATACCCATAGCATTAGATTTCAAGCTATTTATGATTTGAAACACTTCCTCCTCAGTGGCCAATGAAAGTTTAAAGTTACTATTTGGTTTATATTTGATACCTTTTATGTTATTAACAGCTTCAACACAGTTTTGGGGAGGAATGAATACTGACAAAAAATATTCATTTATTTCATCAGCACTGAATGTAGATAGATCACATCCTTTAACTTTTTTTTGAATATTTAACTTTTTTAGGCAAAACATTTCAGTTGTAGATAATTATTTTCTCTGAATTCGTTCATGAATACTCAATTAAAATGAATAACATTATTATACTACAATTTTGCATCAAAGATGCAGTCAAGGTTTTAACTAGAGGAGATTACTAATAATATTCCACGTAAATGTATGTATGAAATGCAGAAACTTGACGTCCATTCTCTATTTAAACTACTTTAAAAAGACTTCGTGTTCACAACCACCAGTTCTGTCCAGTGAAGGCGAATCTCAAGAATAGTACAAAACCTTAATTAGTGAAAATATTAAAGACAAAGTAAAAATGATCAGTGTATTTGTTGTGTCACTAGTGTTGTTTGGTCGCGAAACCGGTGCTCTACTTGAAGGTACAAGATTTTATTTGTTAACCCTGACAAGACGGATTTGTTTACTTTGCTTTTAGGAGATCCATGTACAGTGCCAGCGACCGCTGAAACTGGGCAATGTACTCAACTAGACAAATGTGAATATGCTAAACAGCTACTTCGCAGCAACTCAAGTTCCCAAGATTGTGGATTTCAAGGAAAGGTACAGTTGGTGTGTTGCCCTGTAGGACCAAAACCTGGAGATATAAGCCTTAGAAGTAAGTTTATGACATGTTTTAAGGGGATTCGCTGGACGAGGTATAATATTTTTTTGGTTTTTTGTATGAAAAAATAATATTAATATAGATGTATCATGCATCATACTGCAGCTTTTTTCATATTCTACAGCGCAGAGACCAGTTCAATCAATTAAAAAAATATGGCTGAGAAATATCGTAAAAAAGCACCATTGTATGTTTTCTTTTCAAGTTTTTTGAGTCAACCATCATAGAATCGCTTGAAAATTTGTACATGGATAAAACATCACTTTTTACAGGGCGCAGAGTTATTAAATGTTTGTTAGTGGTACAATTTGTTTAAATAATAATGTGTTTATTAAAATCAAAATATACCACAAATTAATGCAAAATACGTCGAATAATTTGAACAGGAATATCAGAGGAAAATTAATGATCTATTGGTTAGCAGAGTTTTTAACCAAAACTAACAATTATTGAAAAAAATGGGTATCAATTCGACAGAATTTGAGCAGTTAGTTCAGTACTTTGCCGATAGGAGCGCCACTAAAATTTACGGAAGCGACTTTCCAGGTAAAACCCTTATCGCCTGCTCTACCATAAGCTGATTTATGGCAAGGAACTCAATTTTATAACAAGCCGCCAGGACCGGCCGTAGTAGTCTATTGTTAAGGAAATTAACTTTTACGCAATGAGGTACTATCATAAAACCGAATTAAAACTGGGGAACTATAATATTTTTACTCCACTCACGATCCTGAATTCAATACACATTATTACTAAAAATTCATTATAATATTATTGTCAATATATATTTTGCTTTGTTAATTAATAAAACTAATAAACATATTGATAATAATAATAAAAAATATATAAAATACAGCTTTTGTTTAACACGTATAAGTAGCTGAGTGTATCTACTACTTATCTCAGAAAGGAGGTGTTTTAAAAAAGCCCTACGTCCAGTAACTTTTCCCTTCATTGTTTACTCGAAAAAAGTACTCGTATATGTTTTCATTTGCCGAGAGATCATTTTCAAAATATATTTATAATAAAAATATGCAAGTCTTGGTGATGAAAAATGTACTCCTAATAAATTATTAAAGTACATAAAAAAATAGAAACAAATTTTATTTATTTCAAAAAAATCTCTCGCAAAGGCAGGTTCCTCTTTCTTCTTGAATCAATTATTTCGGGCAATAATGCGCCAAAGTAAAATCTGCCAAGTTTATCTGCCATCGTTTTACATATATTTCTTCGTCTTTATAAATTTTTTCTATATTTATTCCTTCGGGTGTCCATACAACAAAATAAACTTGTGAAATACCCGTAACAAGCATTTGTCCCTGGACTTGAAAGTAGTAATCATGATTTTTTTTAGTTTCAATTCTCTGTCTGTCAATGTACAAAATTTGATTATTTTTTTTCTAACCGCTTCTTCGGGAAACAAATCTTGCGATTTTGAAGGGCATTTAATTTCGACTAATGCACTCATATCCTCTAGAACCCTGTCTGGACTAGCAGCCAAGTAACGAAATTGTTTTGAAATAAACAAGCCACACCGTTCAGTTTTTATATTTTTATTTATTTCAAAACACTTGACAGCTTTTTCCTCACGTTGCTGTCCATAGTATGTATAACTGTTACCTCTAAATGTACTGTACAACAGAGACTCCACAGTTTTAGCTATTGCTGTAGTCGGTCTAAGTTTGTAAATACGTCCAAAATTTAAAGCCGTAACCCTAATTTCTCTCTCTTTTGCCCAAATGTGCCTGTTGCCTAGTGTCTATTTCAATTTGGTCTAAATTCAAAGATAATTTTCTCAAAAAAACCTCTTTGGCTGTCACAAGTGTTTCTACATCCATGACAGGATTTTCTAAAAAATATTTAAACTATAATCGCAGTCGAGACCAGCATACGTACATTTTTTACGACATATTTTTTTTAACGAATACTTTGTCTAAGACGAGCTTGTTTTATAGACGAACAATATTTTTTTGTTATTAAACCAGGACCATTTTAATCACAATATATATATAAAAAATATATAATAAATCCTATCTAAATTGTATAAAATATGATGAGTCTCTTCTTGTGATTTATCATTCCATTCATGTTTTTTGGATTTGCATATACAGGATGACCCCAAAAATTAATGAATGCGTAAATTTATTTTATTGATTTAATCAGGAACTACAGAACCCTATGCTTTGAAATCTTGCAAATGTTTTAAGGTTATAAAAAGCATAATAAATTTTTAGTCAAAATATACTTGCTTATCCCCTCCAAAAAATTGATAACGTTAGCTCAAAAGTTTGCCGTATAATCCTATTTAAAATTTACAAAATATGAGTCTCTTCTTGTAATTTATCATCCCATTCATATTTTTGGATTCGGATATACAGGGTGACTCAAAAAATTTAATCAATGCGCAAATTTATTTTATTGATATAATCAGGAACTACAAAACCGAATGCTTTGAAATCAAATGTGAAAAAAAAAACATAATAGGCATGCAGTCGTCACGTTTCCGATAGCGAGGGAAGTACTGTCTAAACTCTTTAGACCAATTTCTTTGATTTTCCCATTTCTCCATTTCTCAATTTTTCACTGTTTCTGTTTGGGATTTTTTCACTGTTTCGATTCTTTAATTTTCCTTCCATTTTTAGGTTTTTCAATATTTCAGCTTTGGAATTTTGCAATATTTCGTTTCTTCAATTTTTCAAATTTTTGATATTGTGTTTTCTCGGTTTTTAAATTTTTCGATATTTTAATTTTTCAGTTTTTAAAGTTTTAGGTTTTTAGATTTCTCACTATCTCGACTTTTCGATTTTTCAGTTCCATGATTTTTCAATTTGTAGAATTTTTAAATTTTAGATTTCAGGCTTAGATTTTTTTTGTTGTTCAATTCTTGGATTTTTAAAATTTTTGTTTTTTAAATTTTCCTATTTATCCACTTACTGGAATTTCAATGTTTTGATTTTTTGATTGTTCAATTTCTCGATTTTTTGAATTTTTAGTTTTTGATACGATTTTTTTTTTAATTTTCAGTTTTTCAATTTATTAACTTTACGATATTTCAGTTTTACGATTTTTAATTTTTTTTATTTGTCAGTTTTCAATTTTTGACGTTTCAAAATTTTTCGATTTTTCAGTTTTTCGATTATCTGATTTTTTGATTTTCCCATTTCTCTATTTCTTGATTTTTCAATTCTTTCTTCAATTGTGATTTTTCAATTTTTCGATTTCTGGATTTTTCGATGTTTTAGTTTTGTATTTTTTCGCTTTTCCGATTCTTCAATTTTCCTTCCATTTTTCAGTTTTTCAGTATTTCAGTTCAATTTTTCCATTTTTTGATGTTTCGATTTCTCGGTTTTTCATTTTTTCGATAGGTATTTTAATTAATTTAATTTTTCAGTTTTTAAGTTCTAGATTTTCCGTTAAGTCTCTCAACGTCTCCTTCGTTTTATGTAAATTTATTTGAAGCGTCAAATAAATTCTAAAGAACTATTACCTGATAAACACGCAGTTACGCAACGAACAATTTAACTTCAATGATCTAAATATCTTAAGAAATAAAAAATACACCTGACTTCTTAAATTTTGGAACCTAAGCAAAAATAAAATACAACATCAACATATATCAACATTTTCAGAATGTGATCGCTACTTCAACATAAAGTATCAAGTCTTCGCCATTGATTCGGGCCGGAAAGCTCTCTCTAAAGAGTTTCGTCACATGGTAAGTAACCACAGTAAGTGCCACTCTTTTCTTTAAAATTACGTTGTTGTCAGGCAGCTGTGGCGACGACAAAACAAAGATCATTTGGTTATGTGGAGGAACCCTCATCAGTCATAATTTCGTTCTTAGTGCCGCTCACTGTGCTGAGTCTCATCAATTGTAAGTGTCGACCAACAGTATCAAAAATAAAAACTAACCTTCGACTCTACAGTGGACTAGCCAGATGGATCCGCCTCGGCGACTTAGACCTACAAAATACCACCGAAGACGCAAACCCTCAAGATGTGAGAATTGTCCGAACCTATGTTCATCCAGACTACAGATCTTCGTCACATTACCACGACATTGCTCTGTTCAAAATGGCAGAGGAAGTTTCCCTTGCGATTGATTTCAAGGCTGCTTGTTTACACGTAGGGAAAAATTTACCTGTGAACACGTTACAGGCAACTGGTTGGGGTAAAATGGGTTACTTTGGAGACAAAAGTAGTCACTTGATGAAGGTTAACTTAGGTCTTGTCAATCATAGTACCTGTGCCAAGAGATATGCCAATGTTGCTAATACTAGAAGACTAAAAAATGGTATTTTAGATGAGTACCAGATGTGTGCTGGTAACGTTGAGGGGGGAGATACGTGTCTGGTAGGTGGTGGTTCATTTTGTTGTACCAATTATTACTTTAGGCTTTAGGGAGACTCAGGAGGACCCCTACATTATACAGTACAATCAACGGATGACCATGTTTTTCATTTTACTGTTGCTGGAGTTACTTCTTTTGGGAAAGCATGTGGAGGAGAGAACACTATTGGGGTTTATACAAGAGTGTCTGCTTATGTTGGATGGATTGAAGACATCGTTTGGAACTAAGATAACTGACGTCAATATTCATGTCAAAAATTGTTACTGCCACGAAAATAAAGCTATATAAGCGACTTTTTAGTTTTTCAATTTTAGTTTATAATTCAATTTTGGGAGCACGTGGTGATTGGTTGTTTTTTTTTTCTAAAATTTGAAAGAATTTTAGGGGCCGATAGTATTTTGCATGAAAAAAATTGCAGAGATCAGAGCTTCTAGTGTTTCTTCAAGAATATAAATGAATATTGAGTATGAATTTGAAAGAATTTTGAAGGCAAGTTATTTTGTTTTTGAAAGATTCTTGGGAGTTCTTGTTTTTCAAATTTAGACTCGTTCAGAATTTTTTTAAGGATTTTACCCTGTTTTAAAGGTATATTTTAAAAAGCAAATATTTCAAAGATTTAAAAAAAGTAACACTTTTAACGATTTTACACTGTTTTTAAGCCAGCTTTTTTAAAAAGGCCAAATTTTAAGGATTCTGTCCTGTTTTTAAGAAATATAGAATTCCATTTCTGTTAAAAAAATCACTTTCGGAAAAACACTCAAAATTTGAGGATCCTACCCTAGTTTTAACACATACTAAAAAGTGAACATTTGACTCGTTTTTCGATTAAATGTGAAGATTTTTCAAATTTAGGCTCCTTCAGAATTTTTTTAAGGATTTTACCCTGTTTTAAGGGTATATTTAAAAAAGCAAATATTTCAAAGATTTAAAAAAGTAGCACTTTTAACGATTTTACCCCGTTTTTAAACCAGCTTTTTTAAAAAAGCCAAATTTTAAGGATTCGGCCCTGTTTTTAAGAAATATAGAATTCCATTTCGGTTAAAAAAATCACCTTTGGAAAAACACTCAAAATCTGAGAATCCTACTCTAATTTTTAAGCATACTAAAAAGTGAAAATTTCAACTCCTTTTTCGATTAAATGTGAAGGTTTTTCAAATTTAGGCTCCTTCAGAATTTTTTTAAGGATTTTACCCTGTTTTAGAGGTATATTTAGAAAAGCAAATATTTCAAAGATTTTAAAAAGTAACACTTTTAACGATTTTACCCTGTTTTTAAGTCAGGTTTTTTAAAAAAGCCAAATTTTAAGGATTCTGCCCTGTTTTTAGGAAATATAGAATTCCATTTCGGCTAAAAAAAATCACTTTCGGAAAAACACTCAAAATCTGAGGATCCCACCCTAGTTTTAAAACATACTAAAAAGTGAAAATTTGAACTCCTTTTTCGATTAAATGTGAAGGTTTTTCAAATTTAGGCTCTTTCAGAATTTTTTTAAGGATTTAACCCTGTTTCAAAGGTATATTTAAAAAGGCAAATATTTCAAAGATTTAAAAAAGTAACACTTTTAACGATTGTACCCTGTTTTTAAGCCAGCTTTTTTAAAAAAGCCAAATTTTAAGGATTCTGTCCTGTTTTTAAGAAATATAGAATTCCATTTCGGTTAAAAAAAATCACCTTCGGAAAACACTTAAAATTTTAATAATTCTGCTCTGTTTTTAAGGTAATTTTTTAAAGAGTCAACGTCCAGTAATAACCCATGTGGATATGAAGTACTTTCCACACATAACCTAAAATAAATAAGTAAGTATTAAAGAATATTTGGTTGAATTTTACAACCCGTATACATTTAGAACTTGCTTTGACCTCCATTTTAAATGCAAGGCACCAAAATTTTTGTGTAATTGACAAAATAAGTTTAATAGCTATCGAGTAAATATAAATTTAAAAAAATTATATTTTAATTATATATGCATAAAAAATTAATTACCTAAAAATTGAAACATTTAAAAAATTTAAAATTATTTAAAACAATAGTATTTCGTTTTAGAACGAATCTTCGTGATCCATTGTGTTTGGTTTTAATAAAAATTTGAAATAATTTGGGAACCAATTGTGTTTTATTATTAAAAAAAAAACAAATGAAGGAATCGTAGAATCCTTAGTGACTTTCTTTCAATTTAAAAGAACCTTGGATACCCCTGATTATTTAAGAGATTAAAAGCAAGTTGGAAACCTCTGGTGTTTCGTTTTTGAAAAAAAAAAAAATTAAATAATCTTAGCGATCCCTAGTGTTTAAATATGAAGAGATCTTAGAGTGCTTAGTAAAAGAATACAAAAATATCTCGCATACCCATAATGTTTTTAAAGAAATTCAAAGCAACTTACGACCTCTTGTATTTTGTTTTTGAAAAAAAAAAAAATTAAAAGAATCTTGACCATCCCTGCTGTTTTAATAAAAGATCAAACGAATCTTGAAGGCCCCTTGTGTTTCGTTTTTAATAAAATTTGAAAGGCTCCTGGAATTTTATACCTTAATTTTTTCATTTTTGAAAATATTTTAAAGAATCTCCGGGTCACTTATGTTCTTGACCAAATTAGAGTTCTTAACGTTTCTTTTTTGAAAAAATTCTAAAAAAAATTTGGTGATCCATTGTTTTTTGTGTTTGAAAGAAACTGAATTAGTCTTGGAAGCCGATGATATTATAAAATTTAAAAGCATGTTAGCGACCTCTGGTGTTTTTTTAAAAGACCAAACGAATCTTGAAGGCCCTACGTGTTGTGTTTTTAAAAGAATTTGAACGGTTCTTGCAGGTCAATGTTAATATTAGTATTATTGTTATTGCTGTCTTAGTTGGTCAACAGGTTTTTGCCTAATTACTGACCAACATAATTCACATAATCTCAATATAATATATCAGTGGCTGTCCGTCACGACTGTTCCATTTAGGAAAATTGTATTGAAGAATATGACAGTCTCTTGCACTATGAATTTTAATAAACAGTGTAGGATCGTCAGTAGAAATCGATTTTTCACACGTAATTTCTTTAACAATGTCATTAATAAATATTACGAATAATAAGGGTCCTAAATTGGACCCCTGTGGGATACCAGAAGTCGGAGATATGCATTTGGAGCGAAAATTACGATTCATAACACCTTGCTGCCTGTTCATAACAAATGATAAGAATGGTCAATCTTATCAAACGCTTTACAAAAATCCGTATAAATTATGTTCACTTGACCACGATTATCAATGGATTTAGAAACGAATTGTGAAAACATGAAACATCATATCATGTTTTTAAAATTGTAAAACGATTTGAAAGAATCTTCGGGTTAGTTAGTTTATCCTTGAAAAACTTTGCAAAATCCTAGGGCTTTTTTTAGAATTTAAAGGAATTTTCTGTGCAACTGTGTGTTTTCTTCATTTTGAAAATATTTCAAAGAATCTTGATTCAAGTCCTGGGGTTCCTTGTGTTTTTGTTTTTGAAAAAATTGAGAGTCGATAGTACTTTGTTACTATAAAAAATTAAGAATTCTTCGGATATCTCGAATCTTAAGACCCCTGATGTTTTTTCAAAGATTCAGTAGTCATGACAATTGATGGTGTCTTGTTATTAAAAAAAATTGAGGAAAATTTAATGCACCTATTCTATTTTTTAAAGAATTTAGAAAAATCTTGGGTCGCCTGATGATTTTAAGAAATTAAAAGAACATTGTGGACCTGTGGTGTTTTTCAAGAGAACAAACGAATCTAGAAAGCCCCTTGTGTTTTGTTTTAAAAGAATTTGGAAGTATTTTGGGGTCGCTTGTATATATTTAATATAAAGACATCAGTGGCGGCTGGTGGGTCAAAATTTCGGGTCGGCCAAATATTTTGAGTCTACACCTTGGTGTTATATATTTTCGTAATGTATGGCTGCTACTCATTAACCACTGACATTTTACGTGCCAGGATGTACAAAACATCTCAAATGTTTCGACCTGTTAAAATAATTTTTTATAGGAAATTGACAATGTCAGTTTGATTCCAAATACTATTAATCCTTAATTCTACTTGTTCTGCTTTATCATTAATTGAGAACCACCGAAAACATTATTTTTACTGAGTTCCGCGTCGACCGGCGGCTATACGGCTTGCCGACCCCGGACATCCACAATTAAATAATAATAATTAAATAATGACATGGAGTTAAAAAATATAAAAAAAGTAATAATAAAAGTACCAACTGTTAACTATCTTCATTTACATTTATTTTTTTTTAATGTATATGACAAATTGTCAAATAAATTAATTGAATAATTGAAAAATTAAAATGATTTAAAACTTTAAATTCGTTTCTGAAATATCTGAAAACGCTTAGATGCTAAAAATACAGAAAAAGCGCATTTATGTTGTAGCTAAGTTATGTACGAAAAATAAAATTTTAGATAATTTAATGTAATTTTTTTCGTTTATTATTCATACACAGGAAAATGTATTAAATCGACAATTATTATTAAAAAAAAAATAGTATGCACTGAAGAACATCGAAGCCGTTATTGTTTTGTAATTTGGTTAGCTATCTTAAATATTAAGCGTTTTAAAAACTAAATTCGCGTTGCTGGGTACGGCGAAGGAGGATTTCGCCGGACCTGGCACAACATACGTTCCGCCAGGTCTTTGTCTACTACAGTGTACTAGACAAAGAGAACGATGAAATCGCAAGCTGCTACGAAGTCGAAACATCGAGCATAATGCATTCCTGGATACGGCGTGCCGAAATCTCGCCGGCAAACCGTGTTTATCAGCATTTAAAATTAGCAACAAATGCTTTATTTTGTACCTACAATATAATAAAATATATTTTTAATATATACATATGATCTATCCTAACGTACATTCAAACTTTATTTCTTTTTTTATTTTCTAATTTCAACGCTTACTAAGTATTTTAAAATGACTGGTACGGCGTGGCCGACCCTGCCGCCCCTGACCAGCCGCCCCTGAAAGACATCTTGGGTACCTGTGATATTTTTGTTTTAGAACGATTTTAAAAGAATGTTAGGGCTCTTTTTTGAAAAAATTTTAATTAATCTTGGAAGCCGATTGTGTTTTGTTATTAATTCTTTTGGAATTTAGAGGAATCTTGTGTGCAACTGCCCAGGGATTCCTAGTGTTTTTTAAGAAATCAGACGAATTATGAAGGTTCCTTGTATATTGTTTTTAAAAGAATTTCAAAGACTCTTGGAGGTCCTTATTGTTATAATTAAGTAGGTTGGTC